TATATATATATAAAATATTGCAATCATATAATAATAAATAATATAATGTAATATATAGTTAAAAAAATATATAATAATAATAATAATAAATTGTAATAATATAATAATAAATTAATATATATTTTTAAAAAATGTATATATATATATATATATATATATAAAATATTGTACTAATATAATAATAAATAATATATATTTAAAAATATATATATAAATAAAAATTCCCCCCTCAATATTACAATGGCGATTTAATATGCGATTATTTGTTTCAAACAAACACAAGAAAATTTTTTTCCTGTATTACAATAAACAATGTTATATTTATTCAATATAAATATTTTAGTACAATAGGCTAGTCTTCCATTATCAGTATGACAACTTAACAAAATTATTCCAAACAAGTGTGATGTAAACATAAGCCAGTAAATCATAAATCTACTTACTTTATGTCAAATTAGACATTAAAACTCCAGCCGTCATAAAACAGAAATTATCGCCCGGACCGCGTGGATCAAAACTCAGCAGAAGCAGAATTTTTGACGCTGTTTTGTGCATCGGACGCGTGCGCCTAATCTTGTGGCCGGCAAGCAAAACGACAAAAAGCGTAGCTTGTTAGCTTGTGCGTGCTAACGGACGCTCGTACCTTCTCACAGTAGCGTAGTTGATACTGCAATATGGTGTAGTGGGGCTGCACAGGGACGGACCAGTGAAGGGTTAAGCTGCTCTCCGTGGAGTCACTCTTGCGAATGACAGACACCAGCGACGGCACTGTGCGGGATACCCGAAGTAGATTAAAAACCGTCCGCATTACCTGGTCACCTTTTTCGCAATTTCTTACCATCGTAGCTTGTGGTGATGTTGACGCCCTCGCTGGAGGGGTCCTTGCCGCTGAGCTGGGACACCCCGTTCAGAGCCTGGATGGCGAACGTGTACGTGGTGTGAGGCAGCAGGCCCCACACCTCCACCCGCCGACTGGTCAGGCCGTGCTGAGCCGGCCGGTAGCTGACGCTGTCGCCGCAGGACACGCACGAGCCCCTCGGCGTTCTGCACACGAGGCACCTGATGCTGTAGCTCAGGTCGGCCCTGCCGCCGTTGTCCAGAGGCTCGTTCCACTCCAATCGTAGCGACGTGCCGTTAATCTGGGAGGCGATGCTGCGCGGCGCTGAGGGAGGCCCTGCGGGCAAAGTTTCAAACCATCAACCATCGACTGGAACATTGGAATCGGGGTTATTTTGCAAGGTGGAACTTTTGAGACACTTTCGAGATTCATTTTCATGCTCCTTTAGCACGCTACGACTTTCACATTAAGCTAACGGTGCTTTCGAACACGTTATGATGCTACAAACCAACCAAATTATATTTCGTAATCGCAAAGGGAGACAAACGTAAACTGAACAAGCCATTTTTTTTTTCTTCTCCGTCTAACAGCTCATTTGTCAGAGAAATGTCAAAATCTAAATCAAGAAACCTTGAAATGAACATGAACGCTTTCAGGGACAGCGGCTACGACAGGGGACAGCTTATCATGTTATCCGGTTACAGGGTGCATGAAAGCGTTAAAATGTAAACATTTCAAAGATGATAATCAATTTTTTTATTATCAAGAGCAATGAGGCCTCGGCTGTTCCAAAGATGGAGCATGGAGGTGGTTTTTGGGGGGGGTTGCTGTAGCTATCCATGGAATAACAACAGCACTCCCAAAGTCACCATAAGAAATGCATTTATCGAATATTTTTCTTTTTCATTTTCATCGCGAACGCTATAAATAATAAAAAAACGAAGAACTGGTGAAAAGGAATAACAGCAAAGTGTACATCTGCTAAGGTAGAACAGAACGGGTTTATCTAATATTTTTACTTTTCATTTTCATCGCGAATGCTATAAATAATAAAAAACGAAGAACTGGTGAAAAGGAATGAGAGCAAAGTGTACATCTGCTAAGGTAGAACAGAACGGCAGTGACAAGCATGCCAGCATAACACCTCCACCAATATTGTGTCATCCTTATTACATCGGGAACATTTAATCATAATTTCATTTCCGAGCTTTTTTTTTTTTTTGAAACCTGATGCAATCAAGGCATAGCAAATTTTTCCCATCAAATCCAATTACAACCCCTGCAGTTGTGTTTTTTTTACGCCGTTTCACCTTCCCGTGACCTACAACGGTCTTATTTGTTTTTCATATAGGCACAGATATAAGATTCAGTCTTTACGTGCAGCCAGGAAGCAGAACAGTAAATCTCCGGAGCCTTTGCGTCACAACGGGGAGCGTATGTGTGGCAGAATTTCACTGGTGCAATTACGCCGCGGCGAAACGTGGCCGATAATGAGCACTGTGTGAAAATGGTGAGAAGATAACTGTTGCCTCGGGCCGAGCAGAAGACGGGGGGGGGGGGGGGGGGTTCCTGAGTGGAAAAAGCAACTCGAGAGGCAGGTTGAACCCAAAGTAAGAGCCGACTGATTTGAGAAGATCCCAAATAAAGCAGATGTTAAAACGTGCTTTTTGTGCTTCAGGTCGTGTTTTCACCACGGACAATTGAACCGTGAAGTGATGGAATTGGAAGCGTTAGTGGAAGACAAACAAACCATAGTACTGAGTGACAGCAATCAATTGCTGTGATTATTTTTGGTGAAGCTCGCAGCTGCATGAAAGTTGGTTAATCGAACTCGCCTCGAGTGGGCGTTCTGTGTAACGTCGCATTTAAATCTCAGCACAGCACAAACACACGCACAAAAAAAAAAAATGCAGCGGGAAAGGTCAGCGCCAGGGATGTCAAAATGTGCTTTCTGTGCTTCGGGTCGTGTTTTCACCACGGACAATTGAAGCGTGAAGTGATGGAATTGGAAGCGTTAGTGGAAGACAAACAAACCATAGTACTGAGTGACAGCAATCAATTGCTGTGATTATTTTTGGTGAAGCTCGCAGCTGCATGAAAGTTGGTTAATCGAACTCGCCTCGAGTGGGCGTTCTGTGTAACGTCGCATTTAAATCTCAGCACAGCACAAACACACGCACAAAAAAAAAAAATGCAGCGGGAAAGGTCAGCGCCAGACAATTGTCACACTTGGCTGAAATGATTCAGGCGCAAGGAATTACAAAATTTCAAAGAGCTTCGTGAAAGGCGACCAAATCATCCCTCCGATCATTCAAAAGCGTGATTTTTTTTCCCACCAATTTTACTTCTTCTCAAATCCATCCACGGTAAGCATGCGGGGGTGAGTTAACCCAAGACGGAATAGTCCACATAGGCGCTTAAGCGCACGTCTGTCAATGGCTGCCGGTGGGCTCCAAGCTCATCCGTGCCGCCGAATGACGACGACCGCAAAAGAAAATGGAAGGACGAAGGCCTTGCGATGAAAGTGATCAGGAACAAATACGTGCGCTGTGAAATGAAGTGAAATCCCAACTGTGGCAAGTGAGAAATGTTTCACGTCCTCTTGATTGCTAATCCGGGGGAAGTGCACCGAGCTGTCCGAGTCAATTCCTTTTCACACGTGATCTCGAATCCCGGAATCGGCGCTGAGGTGTCACTTAAGACCGTCAATGGCTACTTCCCCTTTTTGAGTGGAAGCCCCCCACCCACCCCCTCCAATCTGTCACTAATGACATACATCTCAATGGCCAGCTGTGGCACAAAAGAATCAAAGCAGATTTAAAGGGAGGGGGGGGGCGGGATTAGCACCAGAGGCGGCAGAATCAGAAGCCGGCAAGAGCCGTGGCGAGCGTGAAGCTAGGCACCTTCGTATTTGCCGGCACGGATGAATTCAGAAGCCAATTTTTGGCGACTACTCACTGGTGCACGGAGCGTCGGGGGTGTCGGATTGTGCTCGGAAGTATCCGGGGCGACACACGCATACAGACTCCCCTCTGATGGAGGCGTGGCTCGCTCCCGGACAGACTGCGCACTGTCCCTCCGCGCTGGACTTGAAGTGACCCACGGGACAAGCTGCGGAGGACAAATGAAGGAAAAGCATTATGAGCCTCTTACGTTGGAGATGACCTGTGGCTCCGACACGCATGTTAACTCTGCTCAGGTGCCAGATGGCCGCAGATGGGATCAGGGAAGAATGTAATGAGAGCTAAGTCATAAATCAGATAGACTACCGTCGTCTTTTATATGGGGGGGGGGGGGAAAAAAAGAACCAAAACATGATAGTCCTTCGAGAGATAAGGGAGGAAAAAAAACAACAGCAGATTTCCTGTTCCTTGAAAAAAAAAACCCACAAAAATTATCTTTGAGTGGAGCAATTTCAAGTCAAGGCGTCTTCGGCGGTAAAATGTTACTTGAGATCACTTGGCGACAGGAAGCTCCCGCATAGCATTGTTTGTTTCAAAGATGAATTTGAGTTCACCAAGAAGCTACAAATCAGGGTTGTCTTGAGGGGAAATAACACCTTAACGTGGACCTCGGGGAAATAAAACTGAGTGGACGCGCTGGCCAGCAGGCGCTTTGTTTCAATGACGCCGCCCAAATGAATCAAGCGCATCCGTCAAACCGAATCAACGTGACACAAATGTGCACGCGTTGGACATTTCGGCGTTTGGGCCCGGAAACGTACGTACTGTCGCTATGCAAGCGAATGGAATGAGAGCCCGACTCCATTTTCGTTTTTTCGAAACGATCAGCCTACGAAGCCAATCAACTGTTCAATCTTCTTATGGAGGCAATTTCCCTTAATGCTCCTGCGGTTGTTTTTTTTTTTTTTTTCCTCCTTCCGAGCCTTTGATTGAATGTGCTCAAAGTGATACGGTCTTCACAAGGCGCCCCCCCCCCCCACTCCACCATCCTTCTATCGCACTCAACCAAACGTCGTCCCAGCAGTCAGCCTTTGACCCCGCTCTTCCCCTCGGAGATAAGTGCTGCTCGGTCCTGACCTCTCCCCCCGTCCTCTCTCTGTCACCGCTTCCCCTCCTCATTATATGCGCCGCTCTCCCACGTCCTCTGCAAATGCGTCTACCCTCGCGGCGCACCCCACCCACAGCTCGCCATTGTTTTTCTCCTTTTTGTAGGCGTCGCCAGGCCGCGGAGGCGCTGACTCACAGTGCCTCCGCCGCGGCGAGCTAACCTCATCTCAATCCTACCTGTGCATCTCGTGTGTCCCTCGGCGGCCTCGTATCCGGCCACGCAGGCGCAGGAGGTGGTCGGCTGGCCCACCCACTGGCCGTCTTCGCCGCAGAAAAGCTTGGGGGAGCGGGCTCGGGGGCCCTGTTGCGCGGCGTGCTCCACGCACATACCCTGCGCCTCCTGAACCAGAGTGCGAGGAATGGTCTCGGGGAAAGAGGAAAGAGCGCTGACGAGGGGGGGGCACTTTTTGAAGAAAACTCGGACGGAGAGCAAGGCCATGCAGGAGCCCTGAGCCTGAAAGGCCAAGTAGAAGCCTCTCTTGGATAAAGGGCCGAGTCGTATGGTCTTCATGTTGGATTTCCGCTCGCCGCCCTTCCTGAGGAGAAAGTCCGCTGCCACCGTATCCACCTCGGGACGGGAAGAAACACGTTTTAAGTCTCACCCTGGCCGGATTCCAGCGCACGGGATCGACACAAGCTTTCGCCGCATTCGACACATTTGAAATCCTGAACGGCACCTCGCATATGCTTCACATTATTGAAACTTTTCCAAGCGTGCTATTTAGGGGCTTCTCGTTGATTTACAACCTTCCTGGCAAACGTTGTTTCCCACTGCTGATAAAACCTCATACGCACAGACGTGAAACATGCCCCGGTGCGTTGTGGCTGTTTATCACGATCAGCATTTCATACGTTAAAAAAAAAAAAAAAACGAAATAATTTGTAGTGACTGTAAATTTGAATCAGCGTGTTTCGCAACATCCCTCGGCGCGTTCGAGAACACCATAAAAAAAAGCGGAATACTTCATACATGCTTGGGGGAAAAAAATTGGAGGAAAAAACGACGTCACTGCATCGATTACAAGGCCCAAAATGATCGTGAAACCTGCGCACTCAACCCAAAAGGAGTGAAAATACAAAAAAATAGAAGCGGTTCCCCCCTTTTGAATTGTCCTGGTAGCCTATTTTCTTTTTTTTCTTTTTTTTTTTTCAAGACCGTGTCTCAATACTCTTCCGCTTCCGCACCTGCATTCCAAGCACAGGCGCATACCTTTGTGTAAGGATTCTCCATCCACGGCGGGTACGTGTCCGTGGCCTCGTTGGAGTCCGCCTGGTAGTAGTAGAGGTTAAAGGTCTCCTTGCAGCTGCGGTGGTGGCCGTTCCCGGAGGAGCACTCCATCATGGTGAAGCGCAGCTCCACGTAAACCTGCGAGGCTCCCCGTCTCGGGATGAAGCCGCTGCGCAGCCAGTGGCTGAATGAGCTGTCAGTCTGACAGATCTGGTAGGTCCTCACGCTGTTGTTCTCCTCGTCCAAACCGCTCACTTCCTCCCACTGAGAGCAGAGGCAAGTTTTTTTTTTTTTTGAACGGCACTTGAAAGGGAATCCGAGCCCGAAAGACAAACGGTAGAACGTTTCCATTAGCCCGGCTGTTTGTAATTGTCCAGTAAAAACACGAGTCATCGCATTAAAAAGTCTTTCATTCTCTTCTTTATCAGTTATGGCCGGAATCCGCCTCTGAGACTTCAATTCGGGCTCCGTCACGACTCGGATTCTGGCTTTTTTTTTTTTTTTTTTTTATAAATCATTCCGCACACCGAGGTGCGGTGCAGCTTGTGGGATTTTTTTTTTTGAAGTTCCACTTGTCAAGCAGAGCACATTGCAGCAAGCCAGACTGTCTTTCTTTAACACACAGCAATGCAGAAGTTATGGAACGCGTTTGTGAAAGTCCAAATGCGGCACCGAATATCTGATTGCGCGGCAAGCGGCCTTGCTGATCGTCAAACGTGTTGAAGTGCAGGAAACACCCTCGACATGAACATAATCAAGGCTGAATCCAGCAGATGTGCTGGAGAATGTCACTTATGTAAATATGTAAATGTTTACCCCCCCCCCCCCCAAAAAAAAGATGATCTGTTGAATGAGGCTGAGAGCCAGCAGCCGAACACCGACGCGGGTTCATCGCCTTTTGGAGAGAGATTTTCCCCGTTAAGCCGAAATGAAACAATGTGAAGCGCGGCAGCTCCTATTTTTTCATAAACAAATGCCGCTCGCGTCGACGGCGTTTTGATGCATTCGGCGGGGAGTGACGGCGAGCTTGACTCCAATCCGGTCAAATCATGCCAACATATAAACGAAATTTTAAATGTTGGGTTGTCTCAAGAGATGGTCGCGTTATCCGATCGAAGAGGGCAGTAGAGAGGCTGGCAAAATATTTGATCAGCATATACGTTGCTGATTTAATATGCCTGACTGTTGATCACAGATGGGAACATTTACATGACTTATCAAAGCGCCGTAGGCCCCCCCCCACCCCCCCTCCTTCCCGTTTATTGACGTCCTTTACAACATTTTCCCATCCGAGACACGAATAGAGGAGAAAATATGGTAGCCGCGGGCAAAAATAACCCAGCAACCACTCATTGGTTGATCAAATTACAAATCTGCCTGTTTTTGGGGTTGCTGGAATCCCAAATTGTGGGCTGCCAGCGGATTCCACGCCACGGTCGATGGGACGCATCAAAGCATCTGCTTCCAATCTGCTCTCGAATCGCACATTCGCTCCCCTTCCGAGATTACCTGCCATATAAGGAGCTCTTTCGAAGCCACGAGAACAACGAGATGCCCCCCCCCCCCCCCAATCTCTCTCCCATCGCCATGAGGTCTGGGCTCGCAAATACAGATAAGAGGGCGGCGCCGTGCTGACATACCTCCGGCTTGGCCCGTGAGAAGATGGTCCATCTCAGATCCGATGTCTCTACCTTGGTATTCATCAGCACTTCTGCCAAAGACAATTTCAACGTATTAAGACACGCAAAGCAAAAACAAACAAATCGGCCGGTACATGAGTTGCACCTGCACAATTTCAAAACGGCTGACTCAGCGGATCCCGTAAGAGGGTGGACAAATACCCGAATATATGATGCCTTGTGTCACGCAAAGTCTTCGCGCATTGCTAAGATGCGACGTTAATTGAGTGCGAAGGAGTCTCGCCAGTCGATTACAGACAGGAAGATGGCCACCGCTCCAAAAAAAAAAAAAAAAAAAAAAATCCCATTTTTCCTCGTGATATACGAATGGCCTCTCATTTGGAGCAAGTGCAACTTCAAATGCGGGAGGCTTTTTTGAAGATTTTGGAGTTCTTCAATGGGACTTGTTGAGCATGATTCAACATCTCAGTAAAACCTGAACCGCCGCATGTGAAGCATTTGGTTTAAAATGACTTCTTTTTACAAGAGGACATCACCCCCCCCCCCCCCCCCCCCCCCCCCCCCACAAATCAATGTTATTTCCACACCCCCTGTCTCTCAGCTAGCTTTGCAGTTCTTCTCCAAGAATTGTGGCTCAGATGAGATTTTAGAGGCCACTACATTCCCTCCCGAAATCTCATCTCCAGGGTCCGGCAGTTTGGTTTTCGAGCAATAAACAGGATTTAATACAACTCTCTCACGTGCCGCCATCAAGCGCACGAAAATGGATGTCGGAGGAAAAATGGAGTTTTCAGGCTGTATTTATTTAACATTGCGCTTATTAAATTGCTCGGTTGAATCAGTCAGAAGTGCCAAAATCGGTTGCCGTTCGCCGCGTATCTTTTCCCATTGCAATTTACCTGTATTGTCGATAAAACGAGTTAAATGCGGTTTCTGGCAATGAGGTAGATTCAGAAGAAGAAATAAAATAAAAAAACAGCTTGAAAGTGACAAAACAGCCTTTGGACTGCTCATATTTATATTACACAGGAAAGGGGGACTCTTGTTTGATGGTTAAAATCAACAAGCGGGGATCAAACAGCGAGCTGAGGCATCACCTTTGGCGGAGACTTCCTTTCCTCCCGCTATTGTCGTTGGCGGGATTTATGACACCATTGTTGTCGTACATGTCACCGTGTTCGCTCCTTGTCTGGCTTAAATAAAACCAGTGAAAACGTTTCACTATCGGGACAAAGTCAAACAGTGGCGTCGCTCGTTTTTTTACCCCGGACTCGCCCCGACATGTTGCTCGGTTGTCCGACACGTGCTCACGTTACACGTCGGGTGGCTGTCTCCGATTTACTGATTGCGGCAGACACATCATTAGGCACACGTGTACAATCTGATCGGATCCAGTGCGAGTCCTTATCGAAAGAAATCCGCCTCGACTAAGATAATAACGCTCAGCTTTGATTGGCGCCGTCAGAGAGTTACGGTTGCTTGCTTGGCGCCGCCAGTTCTAGATTCGCTTCGGAATGACGTTCACATTCACGATTATATTTGTAACGCGGTGGGCCATAGACCCTCACAAACTTTCTTAAGACCGCACGGCGTCTTCAGACATATTTAGCGCATAATAAAGCACTGAGGAGAAGACCCAAATTCGGAATATGCCACTTAAGTGCACGGTACATTTCTCAACTCCGATCTCTGGTCATGTCGGTGATGAAATCTGTCCCCATAGCAACAACCTGTGTTCATATTCCAACTTGTCCAAACTATGAAAGACAATATGAGTTGGAAATCTCGGTGGCTGCATGCGCAGTCTAAAATTCCTTCCCCGACTCCCATCAGTTGAAAGACGACAAGCAGCTGTGAGCCAGTCAGCGCCCCCACAACGAGCCCCCCACGCCCACCCCCACCCCGGTCTTCAACACCACCGGCTGTATTTGATTTAATTACACTAAGAACTGCAGCGCCTACACTTCTTCATCTCTGTGATCCCGCGTAAAGTGAGACACTTAACACACCCCGAAGAGCAACACGGAGAGGCACCCCTTTTATGAAAACACACCAAATAAAATGCACGTTATTGGACATCCTCCTCCGTACAGCTGCTTTTCCTTCCTAAGATAACATTTGAACACAGAATAAATAATATCAGGTGTCAGGTGACTCCCGGTGTCCTTGTTTTGCTGCTCACGCCCACAGCAGCTCACATCTTGCCTCCAGCTAATTCAATACATTTCTCAGGCAACACACACACACACGCACACACAAACGCACGGACACACAGACAAATGCAGAACGCATTGCAATCCCGACCCGACTCTCGCTGTCACAAACCCAAATTGCTTAAATCTCTCTTACCGCATTCCACCTCAGTGTTATTTTCTCATCTGGGTGACTGTTCTCCAACACGGCATCCAAATGTGCATCGCACAAAAACCCTGATCGTATTTTTTTTTTTTCATTTTTACCTTGCCCAAGGATGTTTTTATTGCACAAAAACCCTGATCATAATTTTTTTTTCCATTTTTACCTTGCCCAAGGATGTTTCGTTCATATAATTATGCGATGTCAATAATGGCCACGAAACATCGAATTACTGCAAGGTATACTACTATTTTTTTGAATAGGTAAATAAAACGATTTATTACATAATATAGAAGTTTATGCTTATTTGCATTACCACCAAAACTTGACATCCGTTAAAATCAAAATTTGGTTTGTTTGTTTGTTTGGATTACCCCCAAAAATTGATTACTAGTTCCATTTACGATGACATTTTTATTTATTTATGTATTTTCGGTGGCTGTAGATGATGATCCAAATCCAGGAGTTATTTTCAGTGTGCATTTCCCGGTAGATGATGCGAGAACCCAAATGATCAAATATAAGCAACATCCAGGAGAGCTGGGTCGGGTATCAATGAAGGCGCACGATTTGGAGGCAACCCAAATTAGGATTGTTTGTCTTGGGCCGAGTCTTCGCTCTCCTGAGTGCCGCTTGCTTGATTTTTATCAACATTTTCACTTCTTGTGAAAATAACAACATGCTTGACATCGATTTTCACTTCAAAAGCAGAGAAGCCCGGCAGCTTCAGTCGGATGTTTACGTGAGGATGTTTGAACTACAAACCGATAAAAAGGAGAAAAAAAAAACAGTGTTGTTTAGGTTGTTGGTTTACATGATGTCTGCAATTTTGGAGCCAGCAAATGCAAACATTAAGCTCTTCGGACTCCAAGAGGACATCTTGTATAATGATACCACAGCGCTATAGGAGTAGCGTTTCTGCTTTTACAGCCAAATGTACACTTACTGCGTCTGCCCAACAGTTACGTTCAAGTCTCCGTTGACATTTTGTCATTGTCAGGCTAAAATGTCCAATTTTGGCCAATGTAATGTTTTGTTTTTAAATCGATACTTAATGGTCAGTCATCCCATACATGGGTCTGTTATTATTTATTTGTTTGTTGATGGATTTATTTTTTTATGACAAATTATTGACCAATCTTAAGTGTTGAAAATGGCTTGCTCTTTGAAAATGCAACGGCAATGGCTCAACATGGCTTTTTTTTTTTTTTTCGGGACCAACCGACGTGCAACTACAGGCCTGGCAAGTATATTACAACCGGGCGATGTAATCACAGATCATTCTCACAAATGAAAAAAAAAATCCCATCATTACTTGTTCCTTTTCATATCCTTGCGAGGTGGTGCGCCGCTGCCATAAATTTATCAATGACAAAGTTTGGAATCGCACCGTTGGCTCGATTCATCACATCCGACTGGCCGCTGTTTTCTTTCAAGTGCGCACCTGCCACACTTTCATATGTTGATTAGATAGACTAAAAAAAGAAAAAAAAAAGCAGCACCAAACAACCACTCCCCCCTTTCCCCAACCCAAGCATAGTAATCAGTGTTTATCACAGCTCTATCATTAAAGTTTATGAGACAGGATGCGTGAGCGCGAGTGTTTTCGATGAGATGGTGAGTGTTTCTATTATGCGCATGCATGGCCATGCCTTTCACTGAAGTCGACTCGGAATTAAGTCTCATTAGAGGAAGCCCCCCCACCCCCCACATCCCGCCCCACATTCTTTCAGCAGCAGCAGTAGGGTTGGCCACCCACCCGCGGAAAATTGCCCCCCCCCCTCCTATTTCACAATACCAGAAAACAGTGGAAACAATAAAGGCTCGTCATCTGGCCAGATTTAACCGCAAAAACAAACACGTGTACAGTAATTGCGGGACAATTGTCCTTATTGGAGTCAGATTAGAGCGGCGGACACGAAAGCTTGAGCGGTCAACAAGAATGGCCGCGTACATGATCTGTTGACAAAGAAAGAAACCAGATTGGCTTGCCCGTGCTTGGAAGTGAAGAAAATGAGAGGCGGGTGACGTCATCCAAACTCATCCAACCCTTTCGGTGCAACAAACAGGGAGCGAGAAGGTTTTAAGTTTTCGACAACAATGGAGGGTGTTGCATGGATCTCTTTTGAAATGTAAAACTTGACCCTGTATTTTTCTTTCTTTTTTTTTTTTAACAAAAGGGGGAGGGTAAAACCAATACTGCACCCTCAATTTGTCTTCAGGCTTGACATTAATGAAGTAATATTAAATTTCGGGACATTTTTCAGCTGATGCTTTGACATCATTCACAGGGCTTTCATCATTTTTTTTTTCTGTTACCGTTTCTCCTTCGCCGTTTTACTTTCGCTGCGGCGCGGGAAGCGAAGAGGGAAATGGCGGGCACGCTTCTGCTACGATTGCACCTCGTTTCATTCAAGCAAAACATAAAAATAAATCTCATTCATCCTCATGCACCTTCGGGACAAAAATAAGTGGCCTTGACACACACACACAAAAATAAAATAAATTCTTTAAAAAAATAAAATAAAAAGGAAGATAAGGAGGAGAAAACATGCAAAAGAGCAATTAATGCTCCCCAAAAAAATGTATGCAGCATCACAAAGGCACTTTGTGCATATCTTGTTTGCTCTTTCAAAAATTGGCTCCCATACGTCGTCGTTTTCGGTCTGCTGTGAGGCAGAAAGTAATTGCTTTCATGAGTAATTGCACGCGCCGG